CTTAGCTCCTTGGCGAGCTCTTTGGTGAGCTACCGAGCTCCTTGGTGAGCTACCGAGTTCGCGGGGTATGCCGTTATGGTTCATCGGTGGACGTCTTATGGGTTGCCAGGTCGGATCATGTGCCGAGCTGATCTAGGTCGGCCAGGTCGGTGCCCCGACGGGACACCGACTTGGTAAGTTGTTGCCTGGGTGTCGCCTAGTTGTCACGAGATACCACGTGTCACAATTTCACTGGAGGGCCAAATCTGCCCTCATCACATAGGTAAAGCAAAAGATGCGGTTAAATGGAATAAAAGATTGATGGGGTTGCAAAATCAGAGCCCAATATAACAGGCTTTGCTCAACCCTGGCATAAGATGCCGTACAGGCTGGGCTTGGAGCTAGCTTGGGCTTTCAAGATTGGGCTTGGGTTGCTGTGTAATGTATGGGCGCTATGGGCCTAGGAATTCGAATCATCTACACTCTTTACATTAGGACTCGATCAATCGTGAAATACCATATAAACTCCGTACGCATGGGGCCCATATGTCAGATTAATATGACGTATTATGATTGGTTCAGCTTCTGCTCAGTATGTTAAAATTCCCCTCTCCCTTTTATTGTGATGGTACACTGGTAAGCTTTATTTGTTTGCCGTGCAAATCTGAATTGGATACAAATTTTGCATCCGATTCAGTTTTGTACCTGTTAGTTTATAACTATGAATTGCAATTCTATTTAATATAAAATTTGTATTTTTTTTTTGTTTCATTTGCATTTAGTGGTAGTATAAATTCTGTATTTCAAAAACTGATGCAAAATCTGTATCAACTTCCTCTTACATCAATTATTTTTCATTTAAAGTGGGTATCTCATGATCTTGATGCTTACCTCACTCCCAAACAAATAACCTTCTTATTGTCTCTATTGGGTGGAAATTGCATTATTTTACTTCTTACAAACAAATAAAACAAAGTCAAATTCGAAGTGAAAGTAAACCATAATTTACACTCAGCCTATTTGTACTCCCAAACATTTACACTAATGACTCAATTTGGAAAGAGTATAAATATAAATATATACAGTGCAAAAGCTTGCATATTATGAACCTTCTTAGGCTTAATTGATGATTTTAGCCCATCCCATATAGCTAGGATAAGGCTTAGATGATGATAATGATGAAGGTATTGTGAGACCCTCCACATGGATACTTCCAACAAAAGTATTATTATCATTTAAATAGTAAAAGAATAATACCACAAGTTGCTCTCACATATTTACCTAGGAGATATTACAGCTGCACATTGAGAATATTTCTCTTGTCATTTATTATGAGATGTTCTCAATACATGATGGTGGTGCTCTGTGAATAAAGATGTGGGAACAATTTGTGAATAGCATATTCAGAGTGCCTTTGGAAATCTTGTAAACCTGATATCAGCCTTTCCTATGGTGTGCTTAGTATTAACCTCTCTTTGAAGGTTTTTGAGTTGTTTGGTTATCTGGATGGGTTGATTCCCTACCTAGAAAAGAATATCACTCTTGCCATTGCCACACTTGATCCCAAGTATTCACAATGGCACTCAAGACAAATTGTTGCTTAGTTGGTTACTAGTTATGTTTAAGGAAGAACAGGGGTGTAATTTGGGCGGGTCTAACCTGACCCAGGCTGACCCAATTGCAATTTTACACAGTTTGAGTTTGAATTTTTGGTCTTTAGATTGGGCCTGGGCCCAAAAGTTTGAGCTTTTAATTTTTTGAGCTGGGCTCAAGCCTAGCTATTAGATAATCCCAAGGCCGACCTAATCTTATCCCAACCCAAGCCCGGCCCGATTATATACTCTGCAAACACTGCGAAAGCATGAGAATTCTACCAAATTCGGCCATACATTAGAAACAGTACAGGAAATAATTTCAATATGCAGCTGGATGCTATGTGAGCAGAATTTTTGCTTGCAGGAGACCTGGGCTCTCATTCAAAACATAGTTGCAGTCCTAGAAAACCATATAAAAATTGGAAGGCTTGAACATCCAAAAGTGAATCTGATTCCACAATTGTCTTTTTCCATTTCATTACTATGCCTCCCAAATGTAGGGGTGCCAAGTGACCATCTGAACTAGTGGGTCATCAGCTACTATGCTTGTCGTGTATAGTCATTTAGTCAATCAAACCTACTCGCAAGTCATAGCTGAAGTATAATCACTTTTCAGCAGAACAACTGATGAACCAGAGATGGTTACTTCATGTCTCTCCAAACATGGAGGTGTGAGATCAATGAATACGTTATAATACCTGAAAAAAGTTTTTTTTCTGATATCTTGTGAAGGGCTATACAACGGGGTAGTTCATCATCCAATTCAGGTGTAGGCGGGATTCGATCCCAAATTTCTACTAGAGAAGTAGGAGACCTTACCATCCAGCTAATTGGCACCATGTAAAAGAAGGCAATTTAGATGAAGATAATTTCAGTTATATGGTTAAAGGACAGAGGGTGGTAGACCGGCATTGAAGAAAAAGGAAAAAAAAGAAAAAAAAAATGAGGGTGGTAGATCCAATGCTATACACACATAGGGCTGTAAATAGTTCAGATTCTGTTTGGATCTAGCTGCATCGACATCTGATTATAAAATTTATAGATTTGTATCCACATCTAATTATCATGTCGGATTTCAGAGATTTAATTCACAACCATCTTATTATATGTAAAATGACAAGAAAAATAAAAAAAATATTATTTTAACTTATATATGCATAATAAAGATATATACATATAAAATATTAAATTTATCAAATATAAAATTTATATAATTATACAAAATTATAGTATATGCATACATAAAATAATATTTTTTATCAAGCTGGAATTTTGATCAAATTAGATAGATTAAATCTACATCCATCGAATTATTAATCAAATGCAAGTTTTATCATCCAAATCCGAAATGGAGTTTAATCCGATATCAAATTTTGGAAATCCATGGACAGCCCTAGACTAGACAGAGGGGTCAAATATTATTCTTTATCTAGATTAATGTCAAAGGCTGTTTTTGGCCTATTAAAGAATTAGTAAGAAAAGAGATTGTTGAAAAATCAGCGAACTTTCCTATGACTTTCCATTTCTCGCTTATTTTAGTATATTTGAATGAAAACGCCAGTTAAAAAAAAAAAAAGCCTAGGCTTATTTCATTCACCAATAGCTCGGTTTAAAAAATGGATCTCTGACAAGGCATCAGACAGAGAGGATAAGATGCTTTACGATTTTCATTCCACCTTGTAATTAACGATAACGAATCAACCCAATTGGCCGGTTCATGAACCATCTGGTTGACCCGCCCGGATTGGTTCACCAACATCCTACCAAGGTCGCATAGTTTATGTAGGTCTTCTTCTCTAAGTTGTCAATGGGTCGGGTCTGATTTGGGAGAGGGTGTATTAATCTCATTCTGATTATTAATTAGGACTACAAGAAAGACCCAAATTTGAACCAATAATTAACGGAAATAATGGGTCTGAATCAATAAGATCCGATACTGTTTATATGTACAATTTTATAAATCTCATTCCGATTATTAATTTAGTAAATTGTTTATATGTTTGATAAAATGTGTGCTTTTAATATCGTTTCACACATAAAAATATAACAAAAAATTCAAAAAAAAAGCAGATCTTTATATATTATTGACTATACAATCGCTTGGTGTCTGAATCGATTTGGAACAGTTGGTTCCAATAGAGACAAAATCATAAAACCGGCTTTGGTTTGGTTTGATTTTCTCACGTATACACGACCTATTGACAGATTTATATGTTTCCAATATTTCGAACATTAACCTGACTAAGAAACTTGAGTTTACTGTGCAAGGTGCCAATTGGCTTGTTGGTAATAAAGTCTCTTGTTGATTGTAACAGAGATTTAGGGCTGGATATACTGTGGAAGGTGCCAATTGGCTTGTTGGTAATAAGGTCTCTTGTTGGTTGTAACAGAGATTTAGGATCGTATCCAGACTTGCATCATGGTTGGGGGTAGGCTTGTTAATGATATCCGAAAATCTGAGATTTAATCTGATATTCGATCTGATTATCTCGAATTTAGATGATGTATTTATTTAATTGGATTGGATTTAGATTTAACACCATCCAATTCGATTAAAATCCGAATCCGATTATATTATAATATTTATTGTTTTTAATATATACATTTTATATAATTATATGTAATATTATAAAAAATATATATTGTATATGAATTTATATATAATAAATTCAGTAGGTTATATTTACATTAATTTGTTATATAAAAATTGTATTATATATCTGACTCTGTAAAGATTCAAATTCAAATCTGAGGTCTCAAATCCAATCTGATTTCGAATCAGATTTTAGGATTCAGATCGGATGGGATTTAGATCCGATTACAGCCATACTTGGGGGGTTTTATGGGTTTGGGGAATGGGGTATCCCATTTTGTAGCCCATGGAGAAAAATATAAAATTAGAAAAAAAAAAAGAAAAACTTGAATTCACTGTGAACCATAAGGCATGGTCTAGTGGTCCAGCCATCCGGTCCGGTCCCTTTCTTGTATTCCCTTGGACATTTCTATTCTTTTTCCTCTTCGTCGTGACTCGTGACTTGTGAGTCCCATGCTCCCTTTCGTCCCGCCCCAACATGTTACCTGCCTATTTATTATTTCGTAGGAAAAAGTTACCCAACTTGATGTTCTACGCTCACTTTCCTCTACGTCCACGTGATGAAAACGAGATGCGTCAGGCTGGCCGTTAAGATCATGTCGGGCTCAGGTTGGGCCCACTTATTCGTACACATTGTTAATTCTGGGAACCTATTAATTGCTTCATGATCACAAAACGATGGTCAGAGATTGCAGAAATAAAAAACTATCTTCTTCTCCACGCCGTACCGTATCATTATCTTTTACCGGACTATTGTGCCCTTCTCATCTCTCGTTTTTACCGAAAGAGTAAAAAACCGGTAAAGGTGACTGAATTAAATAAGGTTGGATTAAAAGGAAGCCATGGAGATCGGTTGGACAAGATGCTCTGTAAGCAGAAAAGCTTCTGCGCGGAACCCCAAAATTCTTTGAGAATGCGTCATCTTCTTAGTAAATTTAGGGTTTCCCTGTTCCCATGGACTCGACGAACTCGTTCAGGTATGGAGAGTCGTCTAATTCAATTTGTCATCACTCTGCATTCCTTGATCTGTTATGAATTTTCTTTTCTTTTGACTTGGAGATAAAAGAGTGAATTCTTACTGACTTTCCTACTAGATCGCAGTAATGTGATTTGATTTTTTGAAGAACACTAGGTGCCTGAACTTGAATTCTGCATGTACACAGATTTTTTTAGTGTGATTCTTGACAGTTGAGTTTAATTTTTGAGAAAACACTTAAGTATGAATCTGATGGAGAGATAAGAGATGTTTCATGCGTGCATGGTCATAAACAAAAGATAATTGCTTCATATTTTGTGGATATCAACAAATTCGAACTCGAATTCATTAACTTTTCACGGTTAGAGTGTGTTTCTTGATAATTCTATGCGAATTGTGGAGCAGTATTTGTGATCAGAACCGATATTGAAGCCTCTATGTGGTTAATATTATATATAGGTATGTCTGGGCTCGCGGGTTAATAATAGTGGGTTAGTAGGTGATTTTTATTTTTATTTTATTTTTTGATGGGCAGTTAGTTGGTGAAGTTTGCTGATGGATCTTGGGGTTGGAAACTTTGGTAAAAACTTGCGCAATATTAGTTTGGTTTCCTTTTCGTACGTGAGTTAGTTCCCGCTGTGTTTTTAGTAAATTATATTGAACTTTAGTTCCATATTTTAGTAATTGGTGCTCATTTACTTGGATCCCCTGGATTAGAAGAGTGCAAAAAAGACATCTCATCCAATCTGGAGGTTCAACCTTGAATTCTTTATCTCCCTTTACTATTCTAGCTCTATTAGCTAAGAAGAGTGCACATCTGGAGGTTCAACTCTGAAAATTCCTTATCTCCCTTTACAATTCTAGCTCTATTAGCTATTTCATGAGCTACTTGATTCTTCACTCTTGATACATATATTACTTAACAAAAAGCAAAAGACTGCACCAGATATCTGACTTCATCAAACAGACCCTGTTCATCCCGGTTTAACCTACTATTCATATTTGTGAAAGCATTTGCAATATGTTGGGTATCCATATAAACTCTAACTTTTCTGATCCCAAAGTCTAGAGCTCACTTTAACACATAGAGAATAGCCCATCATTCAGTATGATCAGCATTCTGAGCCTTGCAGTTTGTTCCTACTACTGCAACAAAGATAATTAGTAGTACATAACCAGCAGCTGCCTCATTGTTAACATTAACAAATGACCCATCAGTAAATATAGAGAAAAATAACATTTCCAAAGATATTTGGATGGGTTTCGTTTGTACTGATTTTATCTATCTGCACTGCCTTCTTGTAAGAATTGAAGACTCCATTGCTGCACTTGAGTTGGATCAGGTTTTACCCCTCTGAACTCTGAAGATGTAAGTTAAGCCTACAAAACTTCTGTAATGAAAGGGAGAGTTTTTTTTTTTTTTTTTTTGGGGGGGGGGCTGTGTTAACTATGAACTTTATTTCAGAGTAACTTCTCTAGTTGAGTTGATGCAAAAGTGTTCGACAGTTCCATCTATGTTAAATAAAACAGGGCAATTTCAAGTTCTTCCAAATTATAGAATTTACTTAGAGACATGATGTCAAACTGTCTATAGAACCAAAACCTGCTTGCATGTAGAATACTGGCCTGAAGTCCTGTTGCTTACAGATGCTCTGGGTGCCAAAAATGGCTACTAATTTATTTTCCCCGTTGCTTGCAGATGCTCTGGGTGCCACATGCAAAATCTGCTTGCATGTGGAATACTGGCCTGAACTCCTGTTGTTTACAGATTCTCTGGATGCCAAAGTGGCTATTAATTTATTTTCACTCAAGTGTCCCATTTTTGTGTATTAGAATAAACTTGAATCAACTGCAATGACCATTGAAGGGTGAAGACTACCTAGTGACCTTTTTTGTGTCTATACCATTAACACAGGACACTTCTGGTTAGGGGGCAGGGGGGAGAATTGTAGCCTACCAAGCTTATCTGTTGATCTCAAATAAAAAGGGGTAATTTTAAGGTTTGAACATGCTACAGAAAGGCTATGGATTGGGTGGTTAATTTCATAAGATCATATAAGTTCTATCCAAGAAAATTTTGATAGTAGGGCCGTCTGATTGAGGGTGGATAAGTTTGTGCCAACCCCTAGGCCTGTGCAATGAATAAAAATATGCATGTTTTTGATCCTCCTATTTTGACTTGTGAATTCCTCATCAAATTTATGCACTTATCACACAATTATTTAGAGTGGGATCTTCTTATAATCCTCACAATTCATTAACAGCTAAGAATTGCCAGGTTGATCCTCCATTGCATGCTTGTATAATCATTCTCTACCCCATATCAACAAGCGAAATTCACTCTTACATATTCTTCAGGTGCTTCTGCATTTGTTTTTATTTTGGTTTATATGACATTATCTGTGAACATTTTGAACCTGAAATTTCTACATTTTCTTTGGAAGGAAATTTCTACATAGTGTCTTAGTTTCTTGATGCTTCTAAATGTTACTACTATTGGAAAGAATTGGACTCAAAAGAGTAATCCTCTTCTTAGATTCCTCTCCTTTCGTGCAATCATTCAGATCTGGTAAATTCCCAACCAGTGGGAAACTGGTCCATATACTTGTTCTCTTAATTTCATATGGAACCCAAAGGCAAAAAAAGTTGAAGAAAAGTTCTAGGCAATATTTTCATCTTATCGATGGAAAATTCATCTTGTTGTAGCTTTTACCATACATGTTCTGTATATATTTTTTTAATATCAACAAAGCAAACCCTCTTCAATTAACAATCCACTAACTCTGATTTAATTAGATTGTCGCCCTTCTGGTGAACATTGATCATTTCCATTTGTATCCTGAAAATAATCTCTATCTAAATAAATTTGGAACTTGAATTTCTTGTCATGAATTTATTTCAGGTCCATTTCCTTTTGTTAGACGCTTCAAGTACAAGGATGTAAGGAGGGCGACTAATCGGTTTGGCAGAACCATTTCTACCCTTTCTCATGGTTCTGTGTATAAAGCCAAGTTTCAAGATGGTCTTGTAGCTATGGTAAAAGAAGTAAGAACTTTTCCTCAAGGAAAGGATGCCTTCTATAAGGAAGTGCAACTCTTGGGGCGCTTGCATCACCGCCACCTTGTTGGACTCAGAGGTTTTTCCACAGGACGTGAGAGGTCTTTGTCTAACTTTTTAAGCCTCTGTTTCAAGTGAATTTAGTATTCTTGTTCCTCTAAATAGAAAACGAGTTTCTCATGAGAAATTAGGTATCTGTCAGATGATGACTCGTATTAAAGTTCTCTTAAAAATTCATGTGATTTTGATGCTTACATTGTGTAATTCATATAGAACTTTAATAGTATCATGATAAAAGATAATAGCAATAACTGCTTGAAACCTCCCAAGTTTCCTGGCAGAGTTTCCCATGGATTGATTATATACATCTTTAAATGTTTGTTAAGTATATCCTCCTTAAAAACAATAATGCTGTTGATGTTGTCAAAGCCATTGACTTTTGTCTTTCTATACTTTTTTTTTTCAGGTTTCTTGTGTTTGAATACACTGAAAATGGAACCTTGAAGGAGCATCTTAATGGTATTTCAAAGAAAAAAAATTATGTTTCTTGGGACTTGATATTTTGTTTAAAAAAAATTGACAAGAGTTGCTGTTTGCAGACCCCCTTAAGACCCCCTTGAATTGGCGGACAAGGCTGGAAATTGCCATTGGTGTAGCAGCTGCATTGGTTAGTGGCTTAGTCCCATCTTAAATTTAAAGAAAAATTTATACTTGCAGATCACATGTATTTTTTGTCTTCCTACCTATACATCTGCATACACACAGACGTACATATGTGCACAATCAGTTATTTATGGTTCAGGTTTCATTCATTATCCAAATAGATGATGAACTTGTGGATAGTCCTTGTTTTAATTTGTATGGAAGTAACCCTATCAGCTATTGCAATCTGATCCTTCCCATTGTCATTATTTCTTAAAAAGAGGACATGGGTTTAAGTAGTAAGAAATAATTTAAGTGCTCATAATTTAACAATGGATATGGAACTAAACAGAACGGAATGGCAAAACAGGATTCATGTAGCCAAACCCATATAGTTGGGATAAGGCTTAGATGATGATGGTGGTGGTTATCATTGTTTCTACTTATTATTGTTGTTATCATAAATGCTTTTCTGTGGTTTTGATCTTAGTTTGATATCCATTCTAGGCAAAGCCTTTCACATAGGCCTTATTTTTGTTCAATCATCTATTGCCTCATCTGAAATTTTGCAATCTCATTTCGACTCTTTTTTCTTGTTCCTTTTATATAACATTCAGGATAAATAGTGCAGCTGAGAAACTAAGAAAGTTCCTGTATAATGTAGTATAATACATATTTTTCTTTCCATTTAAGTGGGAAACTGTGTACCCCATACTTGATACTTTAGATGCTAATTTGATCATGGGATTCATTCTACATGAATACATTTACAGAATTTTGATTGGATAATGTGAAAGCTAACCACATATGTACATAGTAGCAAATTTTGTTGTATGAAACTTTCTGAACACTAGAAGTTTTATGGACTTTGGCTTAAGTACTATAAGGAGATTCCAATATTAGCGAGAATATAAAGGGATGAAAAATTAAGACGTGTTATTGGTACATCCAATGGATAGCATACACATCAATGGAAATGGATAGAATATTAGAATATGTATCCGTTGCAAGTTTTTGCAAATGAAGACCCAAATCCACGTTTCACATATCAGTCTCATGTCTATAACTGAGCACATGTATCTTAGGTATGAAATATATACATTTTTGACAGATAAATAAGACTAGGATGGATAAATCTAATAATTTTTGTACATGAATCCTTCAAGCCAAGCTATAATCCAACCTGTTCTTACTACTAGTTACTCAATCATAGCCTAATTGAATCAAGAAATCAAGTTGGTCGGGTTGGGACATCACTAGCCAAATTCGCATACAGATAACATGCAGATAATACATGGACAGAAACTTTTTAACCAGCCCACAAAAGCCTTTGCTCCCTTACTCCCTCCTCTTACAATACTAAGTACATGCATATACAAAAAAATGGATTTGAGTTGGCTCAGGTTTCAACCAAAATCCTAATAAAATTTGTAACCCAACCCAACCCTTTTTTCCTGTTAGGTTCAGGTTGCCTCTGGAGATATGGTTAAAATTTCCACAAACAAATACACATTATAGAATAAGTTTTCTAGTATGAATCCTGGGATCTAAATAAGCCACAAATATTTTCACATGATAATATGGTTGAGAGCCCAAACGTATCCTGAGTGTTCCCCTTGTCTTCCTCTATTCATGGTACAAGTTTCAGCTTTAAATTCCCTTGTTATGTGTCCCTCCTTTGTGGGCATTTTCTAAAGTCAAGATATTGAAATTCTGGATGGCACACTTGGGGACATCCCAAGAAAAGGTGGGGTATAGGATGATGTATCCACATTATTAGATAAATGAAAACTTTGTATGCTAGAATTGCATTTCATGTGTTTGATAGAGTTGTTTGCTTGAATTTGGATAACAAATGGACGGGCCACCTATTGAGCCAAACTGCATTTATCAGGAATTCTGGTTTGTCCATAATTGGCCTGGGAAACATGCTCCGGAATTTCATTTAACGTGTAAACGAATGCCATTTTTTTTTTCAGAATTTTTAGTATAATTATATTACGCTTAGACACAATCTAACACAGGCCTCTTGACTGGGTAATCTATAGAATTTGCAACTCCTACTTTCTGCACTTTTAAAATGCATCTTATGTAGTATGTAAACTTGTTATCTATAAGCATATAAAAGTTTCCTTTATGAGCCTGCTTGGATACTCTGTAATTATGATCTTATCTAAGTTCTTGTTAAATGCACTGTGCAGGAATATTTGTATTTCTTCTGTGACCCACCTGTATATCATGTGTCCATCAATTCAAGTAATATTTTGCTGGATGATAATTTTGTTGCCAAGGTAAAGATTCTTAGTACATGCCCCCTGTTTACTCTATTTCATCATCTTTTTCTTTTTCACTGTAAAAAGTTTATTTGATGTCTCATATGCTATCATAAATCATCAGAGTTCAAACAATGACATTTCCTCTCCTTATTTCAGCTTTTTGATATTGGCCGTCTTGGTTCTCATGAAAGCCAGATTGCGAAACCACATGCTTCGTGTTCAAGAGGTAAACTTGTTCTGTGACACTTTTAGCCAATTCTTTTGTTATTATGTATATGTTTATTCATTTATGTTTTTATTCTCTTCCACTGATTTGCAGGATGCATGGACCAAGAGTGGAAAAATGTTGTTTTCCAGCTTGGTGTGCTGATTCTTGAGCTGATAACTGGTCAATCATCAGAAAAGGAAGGTACCAACTTAGTCCAGTGGATCCAAGGATCTAACTTTGCAAGTTCTATGCATATGATGGTGGATCCTGATCTAGGAAATAATTATGATTCTAGGGAGCTTAAAACTCTTTTAAATGTAGCAAGATTGTGTACCAAAACTGGAGATAAGCCAAAAATAACTGTTCCACAGATACTTTGGTATCTCCAAAGGAGGATAGAACCCTCTATTAAACTTGCTTAGCATGATTTATTTACCGAAAAATAGTTTCACTTGTTTGTTGGTGATGGAAATGTTCAAATTATTGGGGAGTGAAGGTGACAGAAAGAAACTACATTTTAGGGCTCCCTCACTTGAAATATGCCCTGGATGAATCCGAGATTTTTGCTCCTTACTGGCAACTGTCCTTGTGGACTTGTGGAACTTGGGGGGATCCCTTATGAATTAACACTTCAAAAAGCTTCTTATTGTTTTACTTGTTTAATCCAATTCTCCTAGTACAGATTAGATGGATAACATTCTGATGCTGGAAAGGAGGAGATTTGTTACACTTGATGCACATTTGACAGTTTATCTACTCAAAAGTTCTAACTTGATGGATGAGGAATCCTATTAATCAGTTGGCTAGAAGAGGAAACTGGAAAGAATTATAATCCTGTAGTTTATCTCCCTTATTACAAGATTTTGGAGGAAAATCCTTCATTTTGAGTCAGAAATCATGTTAAGAATTCTTGTACTTGGGTACCACATCACAAGATTGCCAGTTCTCCAGAAAGAACCCAGAGAGTCCAGGGTTTCGTGAAAAATAACTATTTTGGCTCTATCGCATTCCAACTGAGAGATGAGAAATTGATCCTGCATGTGTTTCTCAAGTAAGCATATTTGTAGCTTAAGCTCCACTTCTGTAAAAATTCAAAGTTCCATTCAGCAGCCATCAACAAAGGATTTGGGAAAGAGACAGTTGAGCATGATTCATGGTGCAATTCTCCTCCATCACCCCCCTCCTGCTCTCCTCCTCAATTCACAAATGAGGAGTGATCTGGTGCAAGTTGAAGGTTCTTAAAAGACAAGGGAATACCAAAGATGAAGTAACAAGAAATGATACAAAGATTTGTGACTTAACATAGGATCTGACCCCGTACAAAGTGGAATGTAGAGCAAGATTCATGTAACCAACACCATGGTCGGCATGCAACTTATTCTGTAATCTATTTTTTTTTTCCTTTTACTGTCTCTGCACACTTGAACTTAAATCTTATGGTTTAATCGCGAGGCTTGTACTTCACTTTATTTGTCCTCATATGATTAAGAAAGAACTTTTCTCAGTTTCAAGAATAACTGCTTTTGCAGGACTTACTGCAACAAATAAATACATGTATCTCGCCATACTTGTACCTGTGAAGAAGGTCTGGTTACAATTTGTGTTTTTCAACTACACCATTAACGAACATTATATGCAGTTGAGTTAATCAAATGTATTGCAAGCATCAGGAGCAGAACTCTAGGCCGGTAAGTCTGAGAGCCCTAGAGGCCTCTACTGCATCACCTTGGCTCCTAGTATTTTTGAGTCTGATCTCTGATGAAGTCCTTGGAGGCCTGATATCATAAAAATGGTGCCCAATTTTAACCAAAAGCTTTAGAAACACAATTGTAGCTGTATTAAACCATATGTTTTTTCAAGAAAATCACCTCTTCCTGAACCTGAAATTGGAAATTGGACCATTCAAATCTCTGGTGTTGTAAAAGCGAAATGACAAAGCAGCCCCTAGTTATCAGCAAATAGTTTGAATATGGGAAAAATTAAAACTCTCTTCATTAAAACGAGGATGATTAGTTTCATGTTTGAGCCTCTTGGCAAGAGTTTAAAGCATAATTTCTCGAAGATAGCTCCTCTATTCCACTTTTATATTTAAAAGAACACCTAAGTCTAAGAATCCACAAATTCATAATTCCTCTTAGCGCGTGACTATTTTGGTTACAGATTTGGGTCGACTATCAGCCTCATTTTCAAAACACTGATCGAGCAACCTCTTCAAGTGAAACTGGTAGAAGTTTCTGGACCTGGGTTTGGTCCCATCTTCAATTTGTACCAACCACTAATAATTCCATTTCAAAAGAAGGGAAAATGTATGTTTCTGAGAATAATTTCGTTTCAAAATGGACATGGTAAAGCATGAATGAACCATGAATTAGCAATTTGGCCCATTATGGTTCTCCCCAGTAAGAGATTCATTATATTCGGATTCTCTTGCCTGTAGATTTTCAACCCTTTCCAGCTGGAACTATATTTTATGGCTTCCAGTTGTTGCATATGACAATCATGTCCACGAACTTTGGTTATAGGGTAGCCCATATATACTACTTAAGTCATGAAAGCTTGGAGCAGCAGTATATGGAGCTGTCTTAATGTGTACTGGACCCACTTAGCCCTTTGATAATTATTGAGCTTTTAAATTTTAATATGGGATCCAACCTGTTAGCGGTTTCTGGGTCTAGATTTTCAGTTTGGTTGGACTTCATCAATCTTAAAAGATTTCTTTTTCCACCATTAGTCCAGTGAGACTTGAGATGATGCTGCAACTTTGACCTTTTCTCTCCATTGAAGCTTCTACGATTTGGGGGACATCTGGTTTGGCCAATATATTGCTACAGAACACCCCTCAGCCCCTTTCTTGGATCATCTTCCTGAGTTCATGGATTGATAGATCTTCTTTCTATCTTATTCCTTGGGAAATCTTTCTTGAATGGAAACATGGGTAGATGAATATATATCTAATTTCTATCCTCTTTCATTTCTTTCATCACAACATATGGTCAATCTCTACGAAGTGCTCTAGCTGCTTCAGAACCTCATCATATTCTTAAATGAAATGCACCAATTCCTATTGATTGTATTTGATAGTAAAACAGATGCAAAACTTACATGAATGTAAGGGAAAAAAAAAGAGAAAAAGAAAACGAAAAGAAAAAAGAATTGTTAATCGGATCTCTACCAGAAGGTTATAGCCCCAGGAATTGGTAGAGATTAATTGCAAAGAGTGTACAGATGATAGCAAGCAAACCTTGGGTTTGAAGTTTGAACCTGTATATGTATGTATACCTATATTGATTTTATTCAACGCCGGCTGCCGGCCAACGGGACAACCTCGGCAAGAGGAGTCGAGAGGGGAGTTGGGATCGGTGATGTACGACAGACAGGACAGGTGGGGTGCAGCCGTAACCATGGGTCGACGCACTTGAGATGAAAGAGGTGGCTGCAGCCGGGAAGAAGCCGGAGCACGTCGGTGTTCTTGTAATCTGCTAAGCAGATGGAGCAGCAGGAGGCCGTGGTATCCTTGTTGCGAAGCTTGGCTTGGGAGTAGAGGAGCTTGGGGTAGCTGAGGAGGGTGGCCTCGTCGACGCCTTCTTCGATGGTGATGATCGTGTGTTGGTTGGAGGGTTGAGCGGAGCTCTGTTGGGGCTGGTCGGAGGGCATCTGATTGCGGGTGCAGAAGTAGGAAGCAAGAGTGATGGTGGTGATGAGGAGGAGGATGCCGACGGAGACTCCAATTCCATAGCCGAACCCACCAATGTTCTTGCTGTCTAGCAGCCCACTACTAGGAGGTTCTACGGTGCTGTTGTTCATCTCCAGATGGTGATGGGATTGAACTGAAGGGGTCACTGCAGAAGTTCTCAACTGTGAGAGAGGGATCAGATTAAAAGCATTTTGGTCAGCCATGGCTAAGTTGAGGGGCGGTGTTTATTTGGATAGTCAAAGCTTTGGAATGTCAACGGTAACATGGCTTTGCCGCCTTGAGAGAGAGAGAGAGATGCATTTGAGGTGAAGGAAAGAGAAGGTAGACGGAGGTCACCTTTTTATTAATAAATCTATGGAGCCTGGAGGTGGAGGTGGAGGGTTTAGAAGTCAACGTCTCTCTCTCTCTTTCTCTCTCTCGAGTGTTTCATTAGACGAGTAACGTTCATCTTTGAATAAGAATCGAGGAAAGAAGGTCACCTTGATGCTTAGATATTAATTAATTTAAAACTTGAGTTGGAGGAGGGAGGTTTATATGACTTGGCTACAGAAGAAACCATTTAAATAGACAGCTAGATAGAGATGTAGATGTAGTTACAGACCTGCTATGCAGCCCCTAGATTTATAAAGTTGTATTATATCTTAATCACCCATCACCACAGAAAGGGATCTAGAGAGAGAAAGATCATAAAAGGGGACACTGGCTGCTTGAGAGAGAGATATGGATCGGGTCTGACCTGATGGACCCGAATTGATAAAACCAATTGGGCTGGTTCCTGTTCTGGTTCCAGAATCTGTATCAATAGATTAGTATTGTCCTCAAATTCAAAACGATACATATATATAGACCCTATAGAGCCTAATTCATTTTCAGGACCTTTGATATTTCTTGTTAGTTTAGCATCAATTTTAACATATTTTGACCTAAATCCGATCCAATTACAGCCCGAGAAAGAGAAGGGGGGGGGGGGAGGAGGGGAGGTGTATCTAAAATAGGCAGCAACTAGCAAGCCTCATCAACCGAGGGCTAACTTGTTGGTGTATTAACTGGTTTGTTCCGGCATTGATGAGGAATCTAATTTCCAATAAATATTTTGGGGAAAAAGGATTGGGGAAGTTATTAATGGTGCATGGCACTGAATTAAAAAAAGGGGGGGGGGGGTTTATAATTCACTCCACCTCAGAAATCTGGTCCTATCATATAAGTCAGATGAATCCTGCCCGTGGATTGATGCCAAATTTACGGGCAGGATGTGATTTATAAGGGATTACTAATAGATTAGAAGGAGGCTGCAATTTCAGATTTCTGACATGGATTACAGTCCACTTATCCCTAAAAAAACTAGCAAGCCTCATTGCTGACGATGGGTTTTCTCCTATACAGACCAGGTGGTGGAAATATACATAGAGTTGGACTAGAGATTAGGTAACGACACTTGTTAAGATCACAAGGAAAGGATATATTATATACATTATAAGCAAAAATAAAAAAAAAGGAAAACCAATTCAACATTTGAGCCTGTAGTTTAGGACCCTTGGGTAAAGCTTCATCCAAGGACTCCAATATGCTCTCTCTGTCATCATCAGTGTGAATGAGTTGGGTGGCTGTGAGGGCCCCCTTTTCTGACAGCTACCTCCTACCTGATTAATTTATCCTATTGGGCTGGGCCGGAAGTTGATCCAGCTCATGATTAGAACTTTGGGACGATCCAGTTTGACATGTGGAATCTTTCATGTATTTATTCATCATCATTGATCATTCCCTTCATTTTGCTCATGCTAGGCTGGCCAAGACAGCGGTATATGTTCTTAATTTCTTATACATGTACAACGATGACCCATCTGGAGCTCTCATGTTGAGTAATCAAGCCATGTCAGCCCTAATGCAAGTTGGATACTCCATTTGAAGAATTTATATTGTGTTGGGCTGAGTTTTTAAGCCATGTCAATTCAAGTTTTGAGAAATTCTCAACTCAAGCCTACCTAAGTTGCACCCTTATCCAAGTCCTAGTTATATATATGTGATCTGGGGAGGGGTAGATTGGGTATGTGTTTGGTATAGCTTCCGTTTATTAAATAAACGTTTGTATTTGATTTGTGTTTAAAACCAAGAAAAGTACTTGATAAACCGTTTGTGGACAACTAGCATCATTAGGCACCACATCAGCGAAACAGTGAATAAACGCTTAACCATTGGGGGAAGAATTAAAATGAAGCTTCCCCCAATAATTGATGCACACATAAATCAAAACCCATTTTTGTAAATATCAATGCACACAGATGAATATGATGAAAAAAAATATCGATTTGACAATGACATAATGATGTTTTGATAAACGCCTATCACGAAATACTCACAGAACAAAACACACACCAAATATAAACCTAACTGTTGGCATTTTTTTCCACACAAGTGACTGTTCTCAAACTTAGAACCTACCTTCATGTCAGCTTGAGATTTTATCATTACACTAAGCAATGGTTGATTGGCACGGTGATTTTAAAAGCCAATAAATTAGAAAATACACATTAATTTGTTCATACCGAATATATGATTATTATGCTCAGGGGTAATTTCACAAAATTTCAGTTTCGGACACAACCACCAGAATTAAATATGAAAAAATATCAAGTGGATTTATTTCTGCCACTTATTTTGCCCAAAATTTGGATATAATATTAACTTACTAAAGAATCAATCATATAAATATAAATATAGAAAGACTATAAAAATAATTAAAATTTATAAAAAATTGTCCAAAATCTGTAATTTGGAATTTTTTTCTCCACCCAGATGACCAAATTTCCAAAATTTAAAACCTTGTCTCCATCCAGCTGACTCATGCTCAATATATATATATATATATGGAGTTAGTGTGAAAATAGATGAGGCTGACAAGTGACAAGACTAGAAGGGGTGCTCATGAGTCATGACCGTAGGAAGCTAACAAAAACACGACATATTTAGGTAGGTAAAGTATAGAACAATTCAAACTTGTCATCTAAACATAATCAGCTTACCCTCCTTCCACCAGACAGGTGGGCCTGTTCATTAATAAAGATCATTCAATCAGCTTATTGACGAAAAAGAAATTGAGATTGATGGTGGCCTAAGAAAGAGTAGGAGAACTAGAGCTCTTCTTGATGTAGCTCTTGTTGGTTGTTTCTTGTTGTGATTTTATGATTGTTTATTTCTGTCAATGACTATGTGGAAGAGTTATATACATACATATATATATATATATATATATATATATATATATATATAATAAATACATTTCTATTTTAATATAGAAAAATCTGCTAATGCTTTAATTTCTCTTTTTTTCGTTTCGAAAAGTGATATTTAATGTAATGATTGGCTTTATTTTATTTTAATTTAGGCTCCATTTGGATATGCAAAGAACAAAAATGAGCCAAAAAGTGTTTTGAAAACATTCAATAAAAAAAAATCATGGCAATTTATGGTCAAACTATTTTTTGGGTATTTAGGCCAAACTTTAGAAGCACAAATCCTAAAGCTTATCCAAACACAACCGTTAGTTTTTGAATGAGGATTTCATGATGGGTTAAAAGAAAAGGACTATAATGGCCACCCTCTTTTTACTTGAATAGCACGGTTGCAGATGGATTGGACCCAATCAGATGTATCTAGATCTTAATTTGATTTATAAATACCCAAATTTGAATCAAAACGTTACTTTTTTTTTTTGGATTAATTCGACTTGGATTGGGTTTGGATGTTGAATATCATTAATAAATAAAATGGATAATTACTTATATATATATATCATCAGGTCTCATAAAACATTCTCAGATCTATCCACAAGAACCCTACCCATATATTACTACAGCGGCACATTGAAAATATCTCCATTTACATGTTACGAGATGTTCCCAATGTACACCTGTAGTGTGCCTTGTGGGTAGGAGGTCTAGGGTGAATCCGTATTCAACTCAACCAAGCATAAATGGATTGCAATTACAAATGGAATAAATTTGGATTATATTATTAAATTAAAAGTTGGACAAATTGATATCGTTTGTATCCTTAACCTTGTGTTCACAATATTGACAATTTCTATCTTTTGCAGAATAGCTATGCTATCACATAACCATGGAGAGAAGAGTTCATAATTTCAGAGAAATAGGCTTTGATTCAAAATAAAAATGCATCTATCATATCTTTTAATCACAAATTAAATCTAATTTTGGCTCTTGTTTGATAAGATTCTACATTTTAGCTTTTGGATTGTGGGAAATAAAAATGAGTGAAAAAGTGTTTTGAGCAATTGGTAAGAGATGATTTTAAAAATATAATAATCTAAAGCCAAAACACTTAAGCCTAAAATTGGGGCTTTGAAGGCACAAATCCTGCTTATCCAAACAAAATCTTAAGGTCCGTTTGATTTACAGTTGGAATCGGAATCGGAATATTTCAGAATCCAAATCGGAATGACCTATTTCCATAGTCTGTTTGATTCAGACAGGAATGCAAATGGGAATTGGAATAAGCAGGAATGAGATTTCATTCACAAGAGAAGGGTACAAAATGGCCATTTCCTCAAATAGGAAAATATCATTCCAGCAGGAATGAGAATGGAATTCTAATTATGTCAAACTAAATAGTTGAAACCAGAATAGCCTATTCCAATACCGATTCCAGACCCCTATTCCTGTAAACCAAAGCAGCCTTAATTTTTAAACTCAAATAAAAACCTAATTGAAAGGCTTCTAATACATATGGAGTGGATGATAGATCCCAAACAAGAAGTGCTCTGTACCAAAGATGGTATGGGGTCATAGCTATTTTCTGTACCAAAGATGGTATGTGCTGACCTAATGAAACCTAGACAGGGACAAACCTGCGTTTGGGTTAGGTTTGCCAATGGGTCAGATATGGACCAGGTCAAGGCAGAGCAGTCCCCCACCTAACAAGAAAACACTTAGACCCTATAATAGGGTTTGTAAGACCCAGAACTGACCCCAAATATGCTTGAGCTTGGCAAACCTTTTTTAACTTATTGTTTTGACAATAAATTAACCTGCTATTTTTTTTTTGTTCTCTCTTCTCCAAACATCTTATATATCCCCACAAAAATAATAATTTTATACATCTTCTAAGAAATTGTTGCAAATAAACTATTGGAAATACGTATAGAATGTTTGGAATATCTTTTTTTCTATGTTGTATGTATAATCAGGTCCAAACAATTAAGCTCAGTTTGGAATTTTCAAAGTACAAATACAAATACAAATATGTAAAGTACAAAACCTTATCTTTTGTATTATTACGCATATACATTTATATTATACATATTTGTATACTCCTTCCAAACCGAGCCTTAAGACCAATCCTGGCCCTATTATGATTGGATTGAAAGCATGGTTTTTAAAACTGACTCGGTGACTGAGCCGGTTAGGGGTCCGGTTATCAGGTTGAACGGTCCGACCCGAACGATCGGCTCATTCTGACAAAAAAAATAAAAAAAATTGAAAAACAGTCAAAACCATTCGAATGATTAACCAGCCAATTCAGCGATTTTCTGACCAAAATCACCGATTTTAAGAAAAAACGGAACCAATCAAGTAACTGGTTCCCGGTTTTTCCGATCCAACCATCTGGCCCGGTCCGGTTTTAAAAACCATGATTGAAAGGACTAAAACTTCAGATCCATAATAAAGAATATTAATAATAGGGACCCAAACATGGGCTTTCAAAAAAACCTTATAACCAATCAACCGATAACACGAACGTGGAAACCAATCAGGTGGTTTTCTGGCTTCAGTCAATATTTATAAAGGGTTTTTGGCATCATAATTTATCCATATATATGTGCGTGTACAAATTTCGTATATACTGATCACAGGTGTTTTAATGGGCCGGGAAGCCTGGCCCATATCAGCCAATGATCACCTCTAGTCTCTAGCTTTGTATAATAGAGGAGTAGGGATTTTCTGCATTTGTTTGTGCTGAAATTGTTTTGCACTTGTATTTAGTCAATGACAGATGTCCCATTAACGTAACATGGGGTTGAGAGAAGAACACTAACATCCTATTGGTTGAGCTTTGCATTAATTGGTCTTGAACATGAAACAATTCCCTCTATTGGGCCAACCCATCAAACTTACTACCACACAAGGGTCCTACTCGAAAAAGGGCCCATTTGGGAGTATTGGAACTTTGGTAGAGTTGCTTTCATTGAGCAAACCAGTAAAAGCCAGTTTTAGGACTGAAACTTTGATTAAGCTGCTTTGAAGAAGCTATTAAAGGAATCTTCTCTGGAAAGTCATTTTTTTTTTATTGAATCACAGAATATTTGGGCTTTCTAGGATTTTTCACCAAACATTACTTATAGGCTGCCCAGGTGAAGCCCATCTCACAAAACCACTTGAAAGCCCTCACAAATCGGCACTAAAAGAAGCTTAATGGGAAATCCATTTTTGGCTAAAATACAACTAATTTCTCATAGTCTGTTCAGATGGGGCCTACTCTACAAAGCGAAAAGCGGCCACTGAAAAGCCGTCCCAAACGGGAATAGAGTTGCTGGCTTTGAGGGATAATTGAACCGCTTATGAAGATGTCACCATTAATTCCAAACTTCTCATTGTTTCGTTAACACCACAGAAACGTAAAAGATCAAACCAGTAAAGGAAACCCAACCGAAAGCAAAACGCATGGAACGAACACTAAGTTCCTCATTCTCATCGGTGACGAAGACGAAGGAATTCCCGGCGAATGGTCAACAACAAGCGACGGTGGCGACGAATGGCCAGCACAGGACAGTGTTTGAGGTGCACATGGATAAGGCCTAGGTAGCAAAGTGGGGCTCAACGAAGGCTGGGGCTGTGGGGGCTGCAGAGGCGGCGACGACGGTGGGAGTGGAGGCGGGACTGAAGAGTGATGGTGGACGGTGACGGAGACCTTTTGTCCGAGAAGACAGTAGTTTGCAAAGCTGCAGATGAAGTAGTAGACGCGTTGTTCGATCAAGGGAATGGCTGCAGGGTCAACCCAGAAAGCTCGAAATGGATTCTCAGCGCTGCAATTCTCGTATTCTCTTCTTGATATTTGCATCAAGTTGTGGAGCTCCGATTGGAATTCGAAAACTAAATTAAAGTAAAAGAGAAATGGATTAGAAGGAATTGAAAGAGTAGTTGCTTAAATCTAATGAGGGTGGGGGATGAGGTTGAGATAGATATGTTAAGTACCTAGAACGTCGCCAATCTGGAAGAACAGATGATCGGACCAGTCGTTGTAAAACTCTTTGTTGGGTGGGATAGTCCATGGAGAGTCCCCTACCATGTATTGCAACCCATGGGAGCTCCTCGACCATGCAATCACGATTACAGACATTATGCAAATCTGTGAACCCATCTGAGAGAGAGAGAGAGAGAGAGAGAGAGAGAGAGAGAGTGTAGCTTAATAGTCTTAATTGTTTTGCATGGATATATGGTCTTTGTAAAGCAAAAGTGACGAAACAAAAGCTTATGGCATTTCTAATTAATAAATTTAAATTTAATAGTAATAATTTAATAATTTTTTATAAATAATTTAATTTTGTTCATTAGGAAATATAAGACAAATAGGGAAGAAAATAAGTATCCAATAATTAGGTGGAAAAATCTAAAAGATAGCTCAATTTAGAAAAAAAGTTGATAATAGAAGGGAATTAGAATTTTGATGAAAAGATTAATAATATTTGGCTTGATATGACAAACAACATACAGAATATAATTAATCTGATTAAAATGAGCATGTTACAAAGAATGACAAAATATAAAACCATAAGAAATGAAGTTAAAAAACAAAGTGAATGAAACTAAATGTAGGGCTCATTATGAGTTTTAGCTTCATCATAAATTAGGCATTAGAGAGAGATGTATAAATTAAATTAACAAAGTTGAGAGAAAGGAAAGATAGAGATTTAATCCAAGTTAGGTGCACTAAAGATGAAAATCAAAGAGCCTTGATAAAATATAAGAAAATCAAACAAAGATGGAAAAACTATTTTGAAAAATTATTAAATGAATAACAATAAGAGGGTGTTAATGGAGAAACCGGAAGTCTTAGTAGTCTTAAAAATAATACATAATTTCATAGAGTTAAACCTACTAAGATAAAAAAAAGCACTAATATAAGATGAAAAAAGGGAAAGGCTTTTGGAGATGATGGGATTCCAATAGAAGTGTGGAAAGGTATGGGAGATGTAGGCTTGTTTATGGCCAACTATACTATTCAATAAGATAGAAAAAGAAAAAAAAAAGACATCTAATGATTGAAAAATAATAGTATGGTGCCTATATTTAAGAACAAAGGTGATATACAAAGTTGTAATAACCATCGAAGGATTAAACTCCTGAGCCACACTATTAGGAGAAAATAATTGAACAAAGATTACAACTTAAAACAAGTTTATCAAACAACCAATTTAGCTTTGTGGCAAGGAAATCAATCTTAGAAACTATAATTCTTTTGAGACAATTAATAGAAAATTTGGAGAGAATAAGAAAGATCTTCATATGATATTTATTAATTTAAAAAGGCTTATAATCAATGTTCAAAGAACCAGTGTTGAACCATAATGACGTGACATATATGTATATATACTATAAGTTATATAATACTATATATAATATATTTTACAACTTTTAAGATACTTAAATATATATGGTGGATGGATGGCAAGTTCTTTCATTTTTAAAACGAATGAACAAAGTTCAAGTCTCATAATTTACATTTTCTTTAAAACGCATGTGCACTAAAATAATATATACAATAAAGAGTCATTAAATAACATAAGCAAAGAGGTGGATTAGTGGTAACTAAGCAATATATGCAAATAAGAGGTCATAGGTTTAAGTCTTAAACTCATTCTAAAATTTCATGTATTTAATGGCCCGTGGTTTCATGAAACTGGCACCGGTTCATTGATTTTTCAATTAAACCAGATGGTCAACCAGTTTTCATTGGGTTTTCAGTAAATACGATTATTGGGGTGTGACCGAACTCGTCAGAGCCCTGGGTCACGATTCAACTAGTATGACCGGCTAGTCCAGTATAGTTTTATAAACACTTATTATAGGGTTTTTAGAGAGATAATAAGTTGGGTCTTGGAAAAGAAAGGGGTTTAAAATAGATACATAGACATAATTAAGGCTATGTATGAAGGGCCAACGACCAATTTGTAGAACACGGTAGAGACTTCATATTATATAGTGACGATGAATCTTCACCAAGGTTTAGCACTTAACCCTTATTTACTGGCATTGATCATAGATGATGAATTGACTAAATATATTTAGGAAGGAGTTCGATGGTGCATGTTGTTTGCCGATGACATTGTTTTAAATAATGAAACTAATGAATGATTAAATGCAAAGTTAAGCTTATAAAAATGCCCTAAAAACAAGTGGCTTTATAAAAATGATTAAATACAAAGTTCAATGGTGCATGTTGTTTGCCGATGACAATGTTAATAATGCGTTGGTAGGTGGCCCCAACATTCTTGAGGCTGAAGGGCATCACACGGTAGCAGTATGTGCCATGTTCAATGATGAACGAGGTCTTCTCTTCATCATCTGGGTGCATCTTTATTTGATTGTATCTGGAGACGGCATCCGTGAAGCTAAGTAGCTCGTACCCTGCAGTGGTGTTAACGAGGTGGTTATCCTCGACAAAGGAAAACTATCCTTGGGGTCGGCTCGGTTAAGGTTTGTGAAATCAATACAGACCCATCATTTCCCATTAGCTTTCTTTACCATAACCACATTTGACAACCAGTTAGGGTAGTGTACCTCTCAGATGAAGCCGATGTCGAGTAACTTTTCAACTTCCTTCTTTATGGCCTTTCAACACTCCGATGCAAAGTTCATCTTCTTTTGCCGAACTGGCCTAGAGCTCAGGTCCACGCTCAGCCTGTGTGTAATGACCGAGGGGTCAATTCCGGGCATGTCAGTGGTGGACCAAGAAAAGACGTCGGCATTGAGTTTGATGAAACTTACCAATTCGGATAGGCTCTCAGGGGGAAGGTTGGACCCGACACAGATTGTCTTGTCGGGCTCGTCCTCATCTAGGGGGACCGAGACGAGGTCCTCGGCTCGCTGGCTCCTCGGAGTGCGTGAAGAGTTGGTCTCCCCATGATGGCGTTGTAGGGTGAGTCAATCTTCATGACCAGGAACTCTGTCATCCTTGTCACCTGTTGGGGCTCTGTCCCTACTATGACGGGAGGGAGATCATGCCCTCTGGTTTGATGGTGTTGTCGGAGAAAACGACTAGTGGGGCATCTACTGGTTAGAGGTGCTCCGAATCTATCTTCATCTTTTCAAAAGTTTCGTAGAAAAGGATGTTGGCTGAGGAGCCACTGTCAACAAGGATTATTTTCACTACAAAGTTTGTAATGACGACTGAGACCACCAATGCGTCGTCATGGGGGATTGCTACCCCCTCCAGGTCCTCGTCCGTGAAGGAGAGGGGTTCTTGCTTCTGCTTATTGGGGGCCGGTCCCAAGATGTTCAGCTGCCTGGCATAGGCTTTGTGAGCCAAGGTCGAGGCTCCACCCGAGGCTGTGCCTTCCACTATGACGTTAGTGACGCTTGCTGCTTGTTGGTGGTGGTGCTACTGCTGCTGGGAGGACGAGGCACCGGCCTCATCTCCGACGTACTGCTTGAGGTGGCCCCAACGAATGAGGGACTCTATCTCATTTTTTAGATCATAACAGTCCTCAGTGTCGTGACCGGTAGGTGGAACTTGCAGTATTTTTTGGGGTTCCCCCGACGGGGGTTCTTCTTCAACTTTTTAGGCCACTTCATAAATTTCTCCTGCTCAATTTGCATCAGAATCTGTGTGCGGGTGGAGTTGAGTGGTGTGTACTGATTGTAAGCCAATGCCGAGGCCGGTGGCTTCCTGTTGTGGTTGTTGTTGCTACGACCCTGGTCTCTGTTCTTCCTCTTCTTCTCGGGGGCTTCATCCCGGTGCTCTGTGCATCTCTCATGGGCGTTCGTAGCCGAAGCCTCTTCGATGACAATGTATTTTAGGGCCCTTTCTAGGAACTCCATCTTCGTCTTTGGTTGGCTTTTGACAACAGAGCACTTAAGAGCCGAGCCGGGGAGGAGCCCGCTGATAACGACATGCGTAGAGACCAGGGGTCGAGGTCACGGACCTCGAGTTCTTTTTTGAAGCGGTCGATGTATGACTGCCCTTCGGTGTCGGTGATGTTGCTAGGAGGGTTGGCGGCTATCCTTCGATTGGGAGGTCCGGAGGTCTAGGAGAGTGGGTCAGCTGGATGACTGCTACCAAACTCGGAGGGCTCGGTCCGCTGCGTGTGGCCGAGGTTGGGGGACCGATTGGTTGGAGGACCCATGCCGGCCTAGCTGTGTGGACTCCCCGGCGGGGCGGTCACCCTGGGGGTGACCTCCTGCTTGGGGATAGTTCTGCTCAACTCGTTGTGTCAAGTACTCCAGGCGGTCGAGTACGGCCTGGAACTGTTCATTGGTGACAAGATTTTGTGTGTTCCTTGTTCTTCGTACCATGTTGGTTAGTTGGAGCTCAAGGACCTGATAGCTTGTCAAAGTTCTTTTTAGGGAACGTCTTAGCAATGCTTCCCACAGACGGCGCCAATTGTTGATGCTGAGATTAACCGAGGACAACAAAGTAATTTCATCCCTAGGCTCCGGAGACTGATCGAAGGCTTCGAGGGTTCGGAGAGGTTGCTACTAAGACCGAGGTGGAGGCTCCGAGCACTGTAGAAGCCGAAGGTGGGTGGCCGAGGTACTGCAAGACAGAATACGTCAGAGGCCCCAGGTGAGAAACCGAGGCAGAGTATCCGACGTTCAAGTTAGTACGGGGTACGAAGAGGAGAACCAAGATATGGTTTGTGAGCCCAGTTCCAAATTCATACTGTAAATTGTATTCAATCCCTTTACTTGGAGGGGGGGCTCCCCTATTTATACTTGAGCTGCCTGGAGGTAGGTGGAGATGAACACCTGAGATGGGTGTCGTACAAGGGCAGTTAAAGAGCTCTATGGGGACATGTGGGTGCCCCGCGATTGTCTCCGTACGAGGGGAGCAGGGTAACCCCTGTTGTAGCTCGTAGGCTGGGCCTTCCAGCCTCAAATGGGCTGGGTTGGGTCACCCCACATTAGTGGTGAAGTACTTCAACCTTTTGGGTCAAACAGCTGAACCCACAATGACCTAATTAAAGACTAAAATATTAAAATAGATGAAAACATAGAAAAATTTTATAGAAAATTTTGGATACATCTCTAATATTATATATTTATTTATTATCATATTAAACAAAAAGAATGATAAACAAGAAGTATTATTATTAATGATAAAAAGGAATACAAAATTTAAACTAACCTACAACCATAATTATGATATCTTTTATATCAACATTAAATTCTACTAATTAAATCCATAAACAATAATTCAAAAGTATAAAAAGTCTAATAGTGTTTTCAAGTGGTGGGTAACAAGGTAAGCACTTCAATATTCAAAAGTATAAAAAGTTTTTTTTTTTTTTTTAATTTTGATGAAAATGGAATTCAAAAATAAAGAAAAAAATAGAACTAATGTCTAGCTAGTGACCCAACTACCGGCTCAGTGGTTCGATTATCTATTACCCAAAATCCTAGTTGGGTGGTAGGTTAACCAATCCAAATAATTGCTTTGACTACAGGATAAAAAAACATTGATTACAAACCAATGTTCTAAAAATTAAATAATTAATATAATAAAAATATAGAAAACATTATAAAACTTATAGAAAAAATTAGCATGTCTTTAATATTATATATTCACTATATGAAACACAAATATGTGTAAGGAATGAGGATTATTATTATTAATGACAGAAATGGCTAAAATACAAAAAAAAAGAAAATTATTGTCTTATTTTGAAACTTGCTTGGTAGACATGTCAATCAATCTTTTTACGTTGAATGGGCTATAAATCCACCAATACACCATGCTTCAATTGCATATTTTTATTACATAGGTTTTGATAGGAATGCTGGAATTATTATTATTATTATTATTATTATTATTATTATTATTATTATTATTATTATTATTATTATTATTATTATTATTATTATTATTATCATCATCATCATCATCATCACCATTTTTTATTCATTTATTATCATCCATCGTTATCATTTGAGATTCAAATTATTATCATCCATCATCATCATTTGAAATTTCCACATACAATGCACATGCACATTTGAAATTCCCCCGTTTTTAAATTTAGTTCTTTTCTAATTATGAGGATTGAAAATGTAATTAAGTTACTAATTTACTACTTCTCACCTTATTTAACAGGTGTTCACGGGTCGGGTCGGGTCGGTTTGAGTCATTTTCTTCAATCGACCCGACCTAGTTGATTTACTTATTAATTAAACTAAAACCGACCAACCTTGAAGCAAAACCGACCCAAACATGAAGGGTCAGTTTATCAGTTTAATCGGTTTTTATATATATTTTAAACTAAAATATCTATTTATATTTAAGTTTATTTCTTTTTAGTTTATGCAAAATCAAAATATATATTTAAATCGATTAGTTTTTTATGCAAAACTGATTTTTTTGTCAATATATATTTAAATTTATACAAAACTGAATTAAATATTGTATCATTGTATTATATTTGTATTGGTTTTACATTTTTAGTTTTTATCATAAATAACCAATTTTTTTTCAAATTTCAAACAAAACACAAATAAAATATATCAACGTTTAAGATATAGGGTAGGGACTAATTAATAATTACTTAAATAAATAGGATTGGTTCGGTTCGGTTTGTATGAAAACCGAAACCAAACCAAATTGTCGTTTATTTTCTCATACAAATCAACACCGATTGGTGGTTTTAAAAAAGCGACCAACTCAGGTTGGGTTGAGGCAGTTTGGTCAGTTTGACATTTAATGTGAACACCCCTATTATTTAATTCTCTCTCATTAAGTTTTATATCTAAGGTATTAAAATCTAGGTTTTAATAACATAAAATCCAGGTTTTAAAATGACCCAAAAACAAAACCGTTGCAATTATTTCAACCATTATGGATCAACCCAAAAACACAACAGTAAATATTTTCACATTAATGTTTTTGTTTATGTTTAGGGTAGATGGGGCCCATCCAAAAAATCTAGGGATTTTATTGTTTTGACGAAAGGTCCAAAACAGCCCAAACCATCTATTTTTCAGCCACTTACCTCTCGATGAAGCTTCTTCAAAAGCTAAAGCCCTTCCAAACGGGCCCTACATCTACGCACCATCTTTGTTCTTCCATCCTAACCGTACATCAGCTTTTGTCATGATGATGCCCCACCAAACGAAAACGACAAGCGAACCCAACACCAACACTACCAACCCAAAAATGTCCCTTTCCTCTTAAGTTCGTTATGCTTGAACGGCCCAGATCTATCAGCATCCTTAAATCGTTTACTGAGACTATTACTTCAGTACGTCATTATCAATTTATCATTATCACCTTTTGGGACATGGATGCCATTTTCTGCAATGTATAGGGGTATACTCGGATATATGAAATTGAGTAGATAAAAGTAAAAGGAAAGTGAGAAAGCATAATTCCATATCAAATTCTCTCTTTCTCTCTTCCCAGCTGACGTTTCCCCGCCAAGTGCCAACTGACGGAAATTCTTGCTTTCAACGCTGGACTGAACCAAACAAGAAAAGAAAAGAGAAAACTAATTTCGTCTCTGCTTTTCCGAGTTTCTGTCCGGTCGGTGTATTCATGGAGAGAGTCCAGTTCAAGCTCGTTCTGCCACTCTTTTTCGTGGCTTTTTTGCTCGTTCCTTCAATTCGAGCCATGGAAATCAAGTACTGCGGTGAGTTATTTTATTTTATTTTTTAATCCAGGGTTTCTTTCTTCAGTTTAATCGAGAATATTGAAGCTTGAATTGGATTTGTTCTGGCCGCTCGGTTAAAATCGATCATTTACTTCCTTGAAAATTGAAACTTTACTCGGTTCGTTTGAACATAAGGGGATTTAGTAGATGCGATTCTAATAATGGAGGAGGTTAAAGAATCCAGTACTCGGTTGGTTTAGTTGGGAAGATTCTCATGAAGGACGTTTGAGTTGATTTTTTCCAGTGATTTTATTAGCTCTGTGTCGGCTTAATTGTAGAAACTGTGTTTTCTATTGAATTTGACCTGGATTTACTTGCGTCGGATTAATGTAAAGTTAGGTTTTTGGTGGTAAGATGGATGGTTAGCTGATGTCTTATATTGGCTTTCTTAAACAAATGCAGATAAGAAGGGTAACTATGCTGTTAAGGTTAATGGAGTCGAAATGTCCCCGGATCCAGTGGTGAGAGGCAAACCTGCTACGTTCAGTCTCGCCGCTACCACAGGTGAATTCTCTGTTTATATGTTATCTGTACTTTTCTTGGACTACAGATACATCTTTTTTCCCCCCGGTTAGGCTTAACATTTGTTTTCTTTTATAATCTCTTTCGTTGATTATGGGCGGGAGAACAACCAAGAAATTATATGGTCACACCTGTAATTAAAGAAGCATCCTCTGAAAACTAGGGAACTAGCCAAAAGTTAAAGAGAATTGCCATTTTTTCAATTAATATACATGCCGAATGGTATATAAAACTAGGGAACTAGCCAAAAGTTAGTTTTTTATATTATAAAATTTTAATTGCCTAGGTGACTAGGCACCCTAGTGCCGCCCATAATCGCCTAGGTGCCTTGAAAACTATGGTTCTGTCAAAGATCCAAACATTAACTAAATAATCTAGATCCTTTTATCACATTAGATAACATGAGTTTCCATGTCTTTTAAGCAAATTCTACATTTTTCTTTTATGGTGCCTTCTCCTTGTCTTAGCCTGTAGAAGTTGCCATGATTCTACTAGTTTGAGTTTATTGTTTTCATAATTGTTATTTATTAATTTTGCATTTATAATAGACAGAAAGCATTGGAAAAACAAGTGTCAAATGTAAATACTTTAAAGCATAGACATAAGTTTCCTTTATTTTCTCATTGAAGGATTTTAGATAATTAGCTGCTCTTGTGTATTTTGTACATGTTCCTGTTTTACATAGCATATTAAAATTTCTGCTACTTATAATTGAGTTGGAAATATTTATAATTTTTCATGGATTAGTTGATTGGATTAGATTGGAGTTTTCTCTCCCTTTTTGTTTCCCAGGCTTTCGAACCATCAAAATTATTGAATGGAGACAATAGGCACTGTCTGATGATTGTTAGCCATTGTCTTTTTGATATTGCATACAAGGACATGTCTAATTCAACTCATGACAATTTTCACAAGTAGACTGTGAGATCATCATGAATGAACATAGAGAATTCTTACATGCTCATGGTTTTTGGATGAATTACAATATTTTGTTTTTCTTTTCCATGCAGGTCAAACTATCAATGGAGGGAAACTTGTGATTGAGGTCTCATACTTTGGGGTGCACATCCACACTGAGAACCATGATCTCTGTGCAGAAACTTCTTGCCCTGTGGCAATTGGTGACTTTGTTCTTGCACACACCCAGACATTACCAGCGTTCACTCCCCCAGTAAGTCATCCTTCCCCCTATATTTCAATTTCAACCATGACATCCAACCTCTCCACTTATGTATGTTCTGATTTGCTTGTTCACCCATCAACTAGCTGATATGAACTTCTAATGCATGAAATTGCTTAGTTTTTTCTTTTTTATTCTTTTTTTACTTATCTTATGATAATTGCAGTATGAAAAAAATGTGTTACAATATTAGTTAGACCCAAAAGCTAATTGTCTGTACATTTACTATAAAATAGGCCATGTTTTAATCTGCTAATATAATCCCAATATAGAAATTAGAATTCCTTTCTTTTGACAGAATGCACAAAGAAATAAATAATTAACTAATATTTTCCTTCTTGTGATTGGACAAAATATTAAACTAGACTTATAACATTGGAACCCACAAGTATTAAGAGGAAGGAAGATATAACCTATAGAGCATGACACATGGTTGAAATATTTTTTTTCCCAAAAATCATAGTCCCAAGCAGTGTTTTGAAACCTGAACTGGTGAACAATCTGCTTCCCATTCCAGGTGACAGTTCACCGGTTCAACTGGGAAGTCAGATGGTTTGACCGTAATATAATTAAAAAATGATAATAAAACTTAAGGGAGGGGGGAGAGTGCAGAGATTGAGAACAAGGGCAGAGAGAGAGAGAGGGGGAGGCTGGTGGGGAGAAGAGATCTAG